ATTTTTGGAGCGTCCTCGGGGACATTTTTGGAGCACCCCGAAAAGGACCAGGGCGGGAACCGGGGGGCGGAGCATTTTTGGAGCATTTTTATGAGCATTTTTGGAGCATCCCGAGAAGGGCCAGGGCGGGAACCGGGGTGCGGGGCATTTCTTTGAGCATTTTTGGAGCATCTTTAGGCGCACGTTTGGAGCATCCCGAGCAGGACCAGGGCGGGGCCCCGGGGTGCGGGGCATTCTTGGAGAATGGCTGGAGCATCTTCCCAGGCACAGGGGCATTCTTGGTTCCTGGGTCTTGGTTTCGTCGGGCACTTTCCATTTTCCCATGGGTTCGCAGCCGCCCCTGAGGGGGTCGCAGGCTTCAGATTTTTGCAAGTCCCCCGAGAGGGGTCGCAGGCTTTAGATTTTTGCAAAGTCCCCCCAGGGGGTCGCACGCTTCGGATTTTGGCAAGGTCCCCCCAGAGGGGGTCGCAGGCTCCAGATTTTTACAAAGTGCAAAATCCCCCCGTGGGGATCGCGGGCTCCAGATTTTTGCAAAGTCCCCCCGACGGGGGTCGCAGGCTTCAGATTTTTGCAAAGTCCCCCCAGGCCCCCGGGGGGGTCGCAGGCCCCAGGGCTCCAGATGTTTGAAAAGACCCCCAGGGGTTCGCAGCGTTCAGCCTTCAGATTTTTGCAAAGTCCCCCCAGGGGGGTCGCAGGCTCCAGGCTCCAGATGTTTGCAAAGTCCCCCCAAGGGGGTCGTGGGATGCAGATTTTTGCATTTGGGCATTTTTTGCATTTTGGCCCAAGGACAGCATCTCTCGAAGAGGCGCAGGGCTTTGCCGCCTTGTCGCCCCAGAGCCAATAGCGGTGGCGAACCCCCTGGGCTTCTTCAGGTAGGGGGTAGGGGCCCATCATCAGGCATGAGTCATTAGTCATTAGGATGCAGCTGTGCAGGCTTCCTGGCTCCTAACACGTTGCATCGCTGGGTCCAGCTCTCCAGCTTCCAGTTCTATAGTTTATAGTTTGTGGGATTATTGGGTTCTTGTCTCCTTTCACCGAATAACATAATGTAGCCATCGATCTATCGAGCTATCTAGACCTTTGAGACTTAGAGACGAAAGGACTAGACATTGGAGACTAGAGACTAGAGTTTAGAGCTGGATCTAGGTTCAATACAAATTACACGTTACAAAACCTATAGGTTAGCCCTAGAGCTGGGTACAGCTTGAACCGAAACCCCATAGAGTTAGATCCAGCACTCATCCTTACCTTTTTATGAGTCTATGGTCTTATAATCCGAATTTTACAGGCTATAGGCTACAGGCTATAGGCAATAGGAATCGTATTACGGTGTTAAGTGTTGAGGCTGGGCCGATTGCCGATTGCCTAGGGCCTAGAGCCTAGGGGCCTAGTGCCTAGCGCCTAGCCCATAGGTCCATAGGTTCATAGGTCGTCGTCGTCGACGGCGGCGTCGGCGTCGAAGTCTCGAAGTCGGCGTCGGCGTCGTCTGCGGCGGCGGCGCCGTCGGCGCCGAAATCTGAAACCCAGCGTCGGCGTCGGCCACGGCGGCGTCGGCGTCGGCGTCGGCGATGGGGGGAGCTTCAAGACGCACCCGAAATCGAACGAACGCGAAAACCGCGCGAACATTTTCGGAGCATCGCCAAAATACAAGTGAAACCGCGCGAGCATTTTCGGGGCATCGTCAAATTGCGACCGAACCCGCGCGAGCATCGCCGCGAGGCGTAAAATGAGCATTAAATAATGTTTGAGGCATTTCCCACGGCTGAGCTTGACTGAGATGTCACAAGTCAAGCCCGTATGCCCCTGGGGGACGACCGCCTCTGGCACATGCACATGAAGCTTCCTCGATTGCGCTATGTCTGCGCTACCAAGCTCTGTAATCCAGAAGGTGAACATACAAAGGTTTAGTCCAAGGCCTTGCGCCATCCCGCCGACCACAGGAAAATAATGAGTTCGAGAAGGGCAGCGACAAAGAGGATGAGGATGAGGGAAAGGAAGGGGAGGTACTTCGAGGGTCAGCATCCAGCCGTGGAGGTTCAACTTCTCCCCCGCCTGGGGGATTGCGGGCCCTCTGGGACGGCCCCCGACCCTCGCCCCTCCCCCTCGGCGCCTCTTTTTCGTTCTGCTTTGCCCCCGCCTCCCCCCGCCTCCCTCCCCCCCCCGTCCTTTTCCCCCTCCCTCCCCCGTCCCTCTCCTCCCCCTCCCCCCGCCCCTGTTCTCCCCCCCTTTCCCCCCCCCCCCGACGCCCCTTCCCATTTCTGAGCGGGTGTCGTTCAAGGACGAACGTCGGGCCGGACGAAAGGGGGGGATTGGGACAGGAGGGGGTACGAAATTTGCTGCATGCATTTGGTTTCGGCCTCACCGAGGGGCCCATTCCTCGATACATTGCCGCCTCCGGCGCCAGGAGGCGCCTGGAAAATCAGCTACGTGAGCTGATTCTCAAACCCCCCTTTGCTATCCCCCCCTTTCGCCCTACCCGAGAACGGTCCGCGCGAGAAGAGAACCGGGGCCCGCGCCGCCAGGACAGGGGCCTGCTGCAATTGGACCGCGCGGTTTGACTGGCCAGGGAATCCAGGACAACAGCGCCCCAGCTCGCATCGGATCGGCGCACTTCGGGGGTCGCGCGCCCAGACGGGGTCGCGACCCCCAGCTGCAATTTTTCAACGACGTCCCGTTCTTCTCTCGACGGCGGAAGTCGGGGCCCTGCCCAGACGGCCCAAACCTCAGATCAATCAGTCAAGCCTGCGCGCCCGCAAGGGGTGACCGCCTCTGGCACAGGCGCGCGAAACATCCTCGATCGATCCTCGTCTGCGCTGCCAATCTTTGCAGCCCAGTGGGTTGACATAGCAAGGTTTAGTCCAACGGCCCTGCGCCATTCCGCCGACCCAAGGACTACGAGGAAAATTGGAGAGAAGGGCGGCGACCGGCCGCGAGGTGGGGCGAAGGTCCAGGCGTCGCGCCGCGCGGGTCGCGCACAGGGCGGCGCGGGCTCCGCGGAGTGACCGCCGTGGCCCGCACTGCGTGAGGGGCAGGAGGGGGTAAAAACTTGGGCGTGCTCGAGTGTTCGGAGGCCCGCGCGTGCTTTTCTTGGGCAGGTGCTGGACCTCCCTGCCTGGTGGCGCTGGAGTCGCCGCCTGTGAAGCTCAATGTTCATGCCGTCCTATCTCCTTCGAGAGACGGTGGAGGAGGAAAAGGATGACGAGGACGAGGAGGAGGAGGAGGAGGAGGAGGAGATCCACGGGCGGCTCGGAGGACGTGGGGAAGGACGAGGTAGGCAGGGGTCCTGCGTTGTCGCCGCGATGCCCCTGCGGAACGGCGTGCAGGCCGGGCGAGCGGCGCAGGCCCGCCGCCGACGTGAAGCTCTCAGCCCGCGGCCTTCCAGAGGTCTCGGCCGCTTCCCGGGGGGCCGTTGTCCGTCCGGGATCTGTTTCTGATGGGCCCGCGGCCCGGCGGCGGGCCCCTGGGGCCGCATCCAGAGGAGAGCCGCTCGGGCTGCGGACACCGCACCGTCGGAGACCTGGGAGGGAGGAAGGGCCAGGAAGGCGGGGGCCTCCTCGTCCCACGCGGCACGCTCCGCCCGCTCGCTGCTGCGGCGGCGCCCGAGGACAGCGGCTCCACCGCCCTGGAGCGCATGCTGGACTCCAACTTCGCGGGCAGCCGCTACTCGGCGAGCCCCGCCCTGGAGCCGGGCATGCGGACCTTCCAGGGGCCCATTCCAATCGGATGGAGCCGATGCGATGTCGATTTCCGCCGGTCCGATCCGATTCGGCGCCGATGTTCTGACGATCCGACGCGGCGCCGACGCTTGCTCGGCGCTGTTGTGCGTTCTTGCTCGGCTTCGATTCCGACTCGGTGCCGATGCGGCCCGGTCCGACGCGCGTTTCATTTCGATCTTGTTACCCGCTTCGATGCCGGCGCAGAATTTTGCAGCTCGCGGCAGGTCTTCGCGTTGCCCTGAAAGCGGTGGCAGCGCCTATCATTTTTTTTGTTTGTTTTCCCGCCCCCCCTCCCTAAGCAGTTTCTCTGTCAGGGCCATATATGTGTTTTCCAAGCCGAGTGCGGGTGGACCCAGACCTGGAATCGGTCGGGCGCAGATTGTCTCCCGTTGTGTCTTGTTGTCTCCTGTTGTGTGCCGTTGCCTCCCGATGTCTTCCTCAGTCACCCGTTGTCTCTGGTTGTGTCCCGCTGTCTCTTGTTGCCTCCCGTTGTCTCCCGTTGCCTCTTGTTGTTTCATGTTGTCTTCCGGTGACACCCGTTGTCGCCCTTGGTGTTCTGCTGTCTCCCGTTATTTTTCGTCGTCTCTGGATCCATTGTCCCCAGCCCTGCATCGTAATCGCCATCCCGTGCCCTTTTTTATGCCATACCTCGCATCCTCATTCCCATCCCGATCCCTGTCGTTACTTTTTCATACCCCCATCCTGTATGTCCCCAGCCCTGTACTCGTAATACCTCTAGTCCTGTACATTTGATGTTCGTATGCGTTCTCGCGTTCGTAATCGTTCGTATTCAAAGTATTTCTCTAACCGTGCTTGCATCGTTTAGGAATCCTTATTCCAAACAGTGATTGCACTTAGGGTTTCCTACTTCTGCTCCAGAAGGAGAGAATGGGTCCGGCAAGGATTTGACATGTTCCGAGCCTTTGCCGCCCGTTGCTGCCTCGTTGCCGCCAGTTGCCGCTCGGGGGTCTGGCGAAGATTCGCCACATTTCCCGCCGTTGCCGCCTCGTTGCCACCCATTGCCACTTGGGAGGTCCGGCGAGAATTCGCAACGTTCCCGCACGTTGCCGCCTCGGTGCCGCCTCGTTGCTGCCTTGTTGCCGCCCGTTGCCGCTTGGAGGGTCAGGCGAAGATTCGCCACGCTCCCGCACGTTGCCGCCTCGGTGCCGCCCGTTGCTGCTCGGCGTTGCCGCCCGTTGCCGCCTCGTTGCTGCTTCGTGCGCTGGGTGGGTGTCCCGAGGATCCTCGGCTCCTGCCCAGACCACTTCCAGCTCGCTTTCCGTGGTAGTCCATGGCCAAGGGCGTCTTCGTATTCTGGCCGTCCGCCCAGGTTGTCACTGCCCGGCCCTCGGCACATGTGCAGGCCTGTCTGGTCATTTCTGCTCGGGTTGCCCCTCTGGGACTTCAGGTGCGTTCGGCAGCCATTGACCTGTCCAGGCTCCTGCCTCCGGGCCTGCCACTTCGCGTTCATCGTGTACCTTTACGAGGTCTTCCTCATCACGGTTCAACCGTTCTCGGGGCCACCGCTGCGTCGCAGCTTCCATTCAAGCGCGTCCAGGTCCAGGCCTGTCAAGCTCGCCAGGTACGTTCTCAACATCTTCCCCTTCGTGCTCCCCGACTCTGGTCACCGCCGCTCGTGTCGCAGTCGCGCTTCGGTGCCCTGCATCCTGAGCGTCTCTGGTCTTCTCAGGGCTCATTTCGACTCCTCCGAGTCGATTCAAATCGATGTCGATCGATTCCGATTCGATTCGACTTCGCATTTCGTTTTGGATCTCGGCTTCTGAATGGAGGCCTGAACTATTTGCCGACCGATTTCTACTGATTCGACTTCTCCCGACTTGGCCGCCGATTTCCGCCGATCCGATTAATTGCGGTCGCTGATCTGCCTCATCGATTCGATTCTGGGTTTTCCTGCCTTCTCGCTTTCTTCTTCTCTGCTCCTTGTCTTTGCTGCGCGTCAATAAATTCCTGGCGTGTCCCGCCCGTCGCCCGACCGGCGCTTGTACTGCTCTTGCGCTCCTGCGCCCGCTGACAAAAATAAGTGTCCCGAGGATTTGCCACGTTGCCACCTCGTTACCGCCCGTTGTTGCCGGGGGGGGGGGGTCCAGCGGGGATTCGCCGCGTTCCCGCCCGCTGCCGCCTCCTTGCCGGCCGTTGCCGCTCGGGAGGTCTGGCGCGGATTCGCCACGTACCCGGCCGTTGCCGCCCGTTGCTGCCTCGTCGCCGCCTCGTTGTTGCCTCGTGCGCAGGGTGGGTGTTCGGAGGATTCGCCACGTTGCTCTCCGTTGCCGCCTCGTTGCCGCCTCGTGCGCGGGGGTGGGTGTCCCGAGGATGCGCGCGTCGCCGCCTCGTTACTCGCCACGTTGCCTCCCGTTGCCGCCTCGCTGCCGTTGCGTTATCAGACGTCTCGCGCCAAAGCTACGAAAAGTGTGGTCCCCTTTTGTTGCCTTTCGCCACGCTGCCGCTCGCGCCGCATCATGGGCGCCCCGTGCTTTCGAGGGGTTAGCCGAGGTTGCGCCACGTCGCCGCCCGTGGCGCCTCGTGGGCGACCTGTGCGCGGGGGCGGCGTTGCCGATGTTGCGCCATGTTGCCACCCGTGCTGCTTCGTGGGCGCTCGTGGGCGCCCCGTGCGCTCGGGGGGGGAGGCTGCCGAGGTTGCGCTCGTGGGCGCCCCGTGCGTTGGATTGTTGCCGACGGTGCGCCACGCTGGCGCCAGTGCCGCCTCGTGGGTTCTCGTGGGTGCCCCACACCACGTAGCTTACGTACACGTCCTAGCTCCCACCACATCTTGCACCGCATTGCTTACACATATAGCCTGCATCAGCCACGTAATTTAGAGCCCATGCATGTCACCTCCAGCTCACGCTACATAGCTTTGACAGCATAGCTTGCACAACATGGTTTGCATCACATAATTTCGATCACGTAGCTCTCACCTCCATGGTTCACACCATCTAATTCTAGACGCTTCGCGTAACCCCACCGTCCCCGCGGCTCCGCGCGCCCTGGCCAACGTTTTCGGTGAGTCCATACGCTCCGTAGTTACGCTCTGCAGAGGCGGGGTTTCGCCCTGCGTTGGTCTCGCATGGTCCCCCCCCGCTGCCCCAGCTCTGTGCTTGAGGTCGCTGGGAAATCCTCCCCCATCTTGGCGATCCGGAGCACTTCAGTCGAGCGCCTGCACGCAAGTTCATCGCCCTCTTCGACCTCCTGGTGGTCTTCGAATTCGACGCCATCTTGCTTTTCGCCGTTTTGGCGCTGCACGTTGACCTTGAGCTGTTCTGGGTCCCCCGCGCTTTTGAACCGCAGCGTAGCTCGCTCCTGCGCGCTCAGTGGGTAATTTTGGCCACTGCTAGTTTACAATTCCCTGACGGCGCCTGGCACCCCTGCGCGCTCGCGAGCAAAAAGTAACCCCACCATCCCATCCAGAAGCGATCCCAAGACGAGTTGCCCTTATCAGGGGTGTGCATGCTGTGGAATTAAGGCTGGGGACGCTGCCGTACCTTACGAGGGTGCGAGTGGAGGGGGAGTCGGAGAAGGAGGAGGACGGTGAGGGTGGGTGGAGGAGGGATGATGGAGAGGATGGGGAGGAAAGGGAAGAGGAGGAGGAATATGAGGAGGAGGAAGGAAATGAGAAATATCATTCGGATTCGGAAGAGGAGGAGGAGGCGGAGGAGGAGGAGGAAGAGGAAGAGGAGGAGGGCGAGCAGAAAAGCCGGAGGCCTCTTGGATGTCACTCGGAGTCTTTTCGACTGTCGTACCGCGGCGTCTTGGGGCCTCTTAGCGGTCCCAGGGCGTCGTCGTCGTCGTCATCATCATCGTCGTCGTGATTTCTGGGCGGTTTGACTCATCCTGGGCCTCCTGGCTGGCCTTTGGATGGCCCTCAGGATCTGGAAGCACACGCACCCAGGTTGGTTGCTGCACGGCGGCGGCGCGCAGCCCCAGGGCGCGGCCGCCCGCCTCTGCGCGTGGTGCTCCACGCACACCCTGCGGAGCCTCGCGCCGCTCGCGGGCAGCCTCGTGGTGATTGTGGTGCACCGGAGCCCGCTGCCCCAGCTGCTCGCGTGGAGGAGCCGCAGACGGGAGGAAGGCAGACAGGCAGGGAGGAGGAGGAGGAGGAGGAGGAGGAGGAGGAGGAGGATGGAGGAGGAGGAGGAGGAGGAGGAGGAGGAGGAGGAGGAGGAGGAGGATGGTGGGGATGGGTGGGGGTGAGGATGAAATGGAGGATGATTGGGAATGAGGATGAGGAGGAGCAGTGGTGGCTTGATGATGCGATGGTGATGTTGATGTTGATGCTGATGTTGTTGGTGATGGTAGTGGTGGTTGTGATGGTGATGGTGATGATGATGCTGCGGATGATAATGTTGATGATGGTTATGAGTGTGGTTGTGTTGATTTTGATGTTTATGTTGATGGTAATGGTGCTGGTAAATGTGATGATGCTATTGTTGATGACGATGATGGTGATGATGATGATGACGATGAGTATGATGATAATGCTGATGATGATGCTGATGATGATGTGGTGGTGGTGGTGATAGTGATGGTAATGGTGGTAATGGTGATAATGGTGATGATGGTGATGATTGTGATGGTAATGATGATGGCGAGGATGTTGATAATGATGACGATGGTGATATTGATGATGATGACGACGACAAGGCTGGCGTTGATGTTTATGCTGCTGCTGATTGCACCTTGCTAGATAATGATTATTGTTGATCCCCCCTCCAGTTCCTATAGTGATGTTCGATTGAAGTGCCCCTCCTGCGAGGCTCGCCCTTGTGCTTTAGGGAAGTCTTGGGCCTCATACTGCGTCGTTGGCTCCCGGTTTACAACGACAGCAACAATCATTTCTATTGTGTTCGTTCTTACTTGCTCGCGTGTCTTCAACATGTATGTAGCAAATCTTCCAAACTTGCCCTTTTCGTCTTTGATCGTACCCCCCGTGGGGGTATAGCTTCGTTACCTGCGATGTGTAGTTGGCATCCCCTAGAACAGTGCCCAAGAAGCCCCAGAGACGCCAAATATCACCATGGTTTCCAACAGCGAGCGGCGACGTAACAAGCTCTGAACACCAAGGCTCCCCAGAGCGCGGTGACGTAAAAAGCTTTTAACAGCAAGGAACCCAATAGCGAGCGGCAACGTAGAAGTCTGTGAACACCAGGGCTCACCACAGAGAGCGGTGACGCAACAAGCTCTTAATGCCAAGACTCCCAAGAGCGAAAGGTGGCATGAGCCATCTCGGGCAAGTTCCTGCAGCGCTCTTTCCGTTCCCGTGCCGTGGTCCCATGTTTGATCATTTTCAGCCCAAGACGGCCCAAGTCAGCCCCAGGAGCGCCCAAGAGACCCCCACAACCCAATACGCTCCCCAGACGCCCCACATGCCTCCACGACGGCCTCCAGGAGTCCCGTCGGATTTTTTGCTCCTTGGGGCCCACTTGGAAGACCTCTTGGGACGTCTTGGAGGCCTCTTGGGCTATCTTGAGGCCATCTTGGGCGTCTTAGAACGATCTTTCGACGACTCGGGGCCCTCTTGGACCGTCTTGGGCTCCGTCTGGGGCCTATTGTGCCGAAGGGTCATGCGACAAGACTTTCCGGAGTCCAGGGGGCACAAAGGAAACTTCAAGGAAACCGCGACAAGCCCCAAGAGATTTGAGGATTTGGGGTCCGAGCTCCTCAAAGACTCCTCGGGAGCACTTTGGGGATTACGCAAAGGACCTGAGCCCCGCAAACGTTGCAGGATACGTATTTGTTGGCCTAATTTTCTCGCGCGCAAGGGGTCAGGATGACGTGAGTTCACATAATCATTTCCATCATAGGATGATGGTATGGTGCATACTGATTATGATGATGGTGATGGTGGTGGTGTTTCTGATGAGAGGGTGTTGATACTGATTTAGATAATGATGACGATGATGGTAGTGATGATGCTTCTGCTGATGATGGTGGTGGTGATAGTAATAATGATGATGGTGATGATGATGCTGTTGATGTTATTGGTGCTGACGCTGATGATGATGTTGATGCTGCTGCTGCTGAAGATGCTGCTGAAGATGATGATGATGATGATGATGATGATGATGATGATGATGATGATGATGATGATATGGTGATGATGATGATGACATTGATGACGATACCGATGATTTGAGTGATGATGTTGGTGCTGCCTCTGCTGCTGATGATGGCCACGATGACGACGATGGCGATGATGACGATCATGGGAATGATGCTGATCATTATTGTGATTGTGTTGATGGTGAAGGTGATGTTGATGTTGATGGTGTTTATAATCATGATGCTGGGATGATGGTTACGATAATGATGGCGATGCTGGTGCTGATGATACTGTTGCCGATGATGGTGGTGGTGATGACAGTGATGATGGTGTTTCTGACGATGCTGATGGTCATGATGATTGTGGTGGTGGTGGCGATGATGAAAATTACGTTGATGTCGATGATGCTGATACAGATGATGATGATAATGCTGATGCTGATGCTGGTGGTGGCATGATGACGATGATTCTGGCGATGTTTACGAGTGAGGGTGATGATGAGAATGATGGTGATGATGATGATGCTGATTATTATGATGATCATTATGATGACGGTGGTGATGATGTGCATGAAGATGACGATAATATGTGACGATGATGATGGTGATGATGGTGATGCTGCGGCTGATGATGATGATGATGATGCTGATGATGATGATGATGATGATGATGATGATGCAGATGGTGATGATGATGATGCTGATAGTGATGGTGATGGTGAAGGTTATCATGGTGGTGATGATGGTGATGGTGACGGTGGTGGTGGTGATTATGATGATGATGGTGATGATGGTGATGAAGACGAAGATGGTGATGACGATGGTGATTCTGTGGTGGTGGTGGTGGTGATGGTGATGATGGTGGTGGTGGTGGCAATGCTTAGGATGGTGATGGTGATGGTGATGAAGATGATGATGATGATGATACAATGTGACAAAGATGATGGCGGTGGTGATGATGATCATGACGATGCTGATGATGATGATGATGATGATGCAGATGATGATGATGCAGATGATGATGATGATGATGATGATGATGATGATCATCATCATCATGATAACTTTGATGATGATGATGGCGCAGACGACGTTGATGATGATGATGATGATGATGAATGATGTGGATGATGATAATGATGATGCTGCTGCTGGTGATGATGATGATGAGGAGGTTGATGATGATGATGATGCTGATGCTGATGCTGATGATGATGATGATGATGATGATGATGATGCTGATGATGACGATGATGCTGATGATGGTGATGGTGATGGTGATGGTGATGGTGATGGTGATGGTGATGGTGATGGTGGTGGTGGTGGTGGTCGTGGTCGTGGTGGTGGTGGTGGTGGTGATGATGAGGAGGAGGAGGAGGAGGAGGAGGAGGAGGAGGAGAAGGAGGTCTGAGGAGGAGCAGGAGCAGGAGCAGGAGCAGGAGCAGGAGGAAGAGGAGGCTCACGAGGGAGGGGGGGAAGGAGGAAAGGAAGGCAGGGAATGGCCAGAGGCAGGTAAGGGGGGCAGCCTTCTGTCACAGCGGCGCGCAGGAGGGTGGCCGCGGAGCACCCCCGCTGGCCCCGGCCCCTCAGCTCCTGCTTCGGGGCCCCCGCTGGCGGCTGGCGCCAGCCCTGCAGGCCGGAAACTGAGGCCGCCTGGGCTGCTCGAAGCCACGCAGGGCCCGTCTCGATCCGACCGACCCAGTCCGATGCCGATCTCGCCCTGCTCGATCCGATTCTATTTCGACTCCGATGTGCGATTTCGACGGTATCTTCCTTGTCCTCCCTTCCTCACCCTCCTCCTTGCCCTCCTCGCCTCCTCCCTTCTCTTTTCGCCCCCTTGCCTCCTCCCTCCCCCTTGCCCTCCTTGCCTCCTCGCTCTTAGCCCTCCTTGCCTCCTCCTCATCCTCCTCCTCCTCTTCCTTGCCCTCATTGCCCTCCTTGTCTCCTCCCTCCTCTTCCCCCCCAGAGGGGGCAAGCGGCGAGCCAACCGCTTATCCGCTCCTGGTCCCGAGGGTAACGTCATCCCGGGGTGCTGCCAGATGCAGCCGGGGCGGGCCTCTTTCGAGGACGCGCCGTCGGGTGGAGGGGGGGGTAGGCAGAGGGAGCCGGGAGAGGGCAGAAGGTCCGAGGAGGGCGAGTTGAGGCAGCGGCGGGTGGCCTTCAGGGGCCCCCTCGTCGCCACGGCTGGACGCAGCTCGGGAAGCTGGTGCGGCCGGACCCCGGGAGGGGTTCGGGGACATATCTTGAGTTGCCGTTGTCTCAACTCGACCTGCTCCGAGAAGGGGCCACCAGCGCCCCCAATGCCTGATCTAGGCCCCGATGTTGCCCGTCCCGACGTCGCCGATGCCTCGCCAACTGATCGACGGCGCGGTCTGCCGACCCTATTGGCAGTCAGAGCGTTTGGATGCGTCCTTTATTGAATCGCTTCGCTCATTCCGCCGGCCCGTGATATGGAATCGCTGGTTTTTGTCTGTGTGTTCGTTGCCCATGTTGCGCTCTTGGGGGCGGGTGTCGTTCGGACGCGTTGCGTGGGGAGTTTTGATGGTGAAGCAGTTCCCTGGGGGTCGTCTCTCGATGGGGCGAAATAGAGTCGTCGTCAAGATGCTTCTTTGGGGGGCCTCTTGGGGTCTGTTGAGAGGCCGTTCGGGGGCGCCTGGGAGACATGTTTGAAGCCTTCTGGGGCTTCTTTTGGGCCTCCTGGGAGTCTCCTGGGGCCTCTTGGCGACATCTTGGGGCCTCTTGGAGGCCTCTTGGGGCCTCTTTGGGACCTCCTGGGCGCCTTCTGGGACGGAGGGCTCCATTTTTGAGTTCTCGGTATCCCTCCTGAGTCCCTCTTGGGCCCGTCTTGGGGCCTCTTGGTCCGTCTTGGGCGGCACTTGGGCCGTCTTGAGGGCTCTCTTGGGTCGTTTCGGCGCCGTCTTGGGAGCTTCGTGGGCCGTCTTGGAGCGGTCTTGGGGGCCTCTTGGGCCGTCTTGGAGCGTCCGGAAGCCGAAAAAGCCAGAACACAAAAAACATAGAAAAAACCAATGAAAATCAACGATTTTGGCCTCTTGGGGCTCTCTTCGGAGGCCTCTTGGAAGGCTCTTGGGGCGTCTTGGAGGCCTCTTGGGCTGTCTTGGGGGCCTTTTGGGCCGTCTTGGGGTCATCTTCGGCGTCTTCGAGCGCTCTTTGGGCGTCTCGGGGGCCTCTTGGGCAGTCTTGGGGGCCTCTTGGGGCACTCTGAGCGCGCTCTGGGGAGCCTGAGAGGCCGCACCCAGAAGGAAAACCATCTCTGAGTAGACTTGGTCGGGCGGCGGCCGGGCGTTGGTCGGGGTACTTTTCGTTGGGGGACCCCCAGGGGCCGCCCCGCGCGCGCGAACTAGAAATACTGTTAATACTGTTAACCAGTTACCGGAGATCTTAGCACGCCCTGGCCCGTTGGGCCGGCGAATTCGTCGGGGCTAGGTGCTCCTTGTGACCGTCCACTACTAGTGCTCCCCCAGCGGTCCTTGTGCAGCTTGGCGCAGTTGAGGCCCGAAAGAGGCTTGGCCGTTTGAGCTTTGGGGAGATGCTGGCATGCAGTGCGTTCTATCTTTCGTTCGGGCCACGACTCGCTGCCTGAGTTTGCCTAGTTATGCGCGTGGCGTTCCTGGCGTTTCTGGCGACCTTTTGATCCGAACTGTGGCCGCGGCCGATTTGTGGCCGCGCCCACTTCCTCCTCGAGCAAAATCTTCCACTGTGCTCCAGCCAGCCCATCTTTGGGCGTGCTCCAGCGGTTCGGCCATCCTCCGAGGACGTCGTCGAGTTGTGGAACTCGTACCAATCTGGCTACATCGCCTTGGTGCGGGAGCTGGGGCGGCTGGGCATATTGAGCGTCCTCCTCGGACAGAAGGAGGTGGCCCAGGAGGAGGAGGAGGAGGAGGAGGAAGAGCAGGATGAAGAGGAAGGAGGAGGAGGAGGAGGAGGAGGAGGAGGAGGAGGAGGAGGAGGAGGAGGAGGAGGAGGAGGAGGAGGAGGGGGGATGAAGAAGAGAAGGGGGGAGGAAGAGGAAGGAGGACAAGGAGGAGGAGGAGGCGGAGGAGGATTAGGAGGGTACGTAGCGGAGGAGGTGGTGGAGGAGGAGGAGAGAAAATAAGGAGGAGGATTGCACATCATTGAGGGATAAAAGGAGAGAGTCCGACGGTTAAGCCACGACACCCCCCAGGCTTGGCGTCGGAGAGGACCTTTTTGTCACCACGGTGCGGATCGCAATAGGCTGCGCACCGTTGCCAGCGACGGGCTCCCGCTTGAGGAAAAAGCTCACCTCCTTTGTATTCTTCCGTCGAGTAGGGCTTCTCGCCCGCTCCCAGAACCTGAGGCCTCATCCACCCCAGAGCACTGCAGGCAATCCGATAGGCACAGAGTTCGTGTCTGCACGGACCAGTTGGCGCAGGCACGCTCCGCGCCCCCCCCCCTCCCGAGGCTGGGCCCCCCTGGCTCTTCGAGAGCGCCTCTGAACAACCGACAAGCCAGCCCCCCAGGAGACCGCCAGGGGCTGAACCTTCGGGAGCGGTTCGGGTGCTTCGAGCGGCAGAAGGCGGAGGAGGAGGAGGTGGAGGAGGTGGAGGAGGAGGAGGAGGAGCGAGTAGAGCCTTCATTAGGAGGATGGAAAGGGCGCGTGAGGGGGGAGGGAGTGAGGAATGGAAGGTAGGTGATAGGGACGGAGGGAGGGAGGGAGGATCCCGAGGAGGAGGAGAGGGAAGAGGAGGAGGAGGAGGAGGAGGAGGAGAAGGGAGAGAGTATGAGTAAGCGAAGGAGCGGAGGCGGTGGAGAAGGGATGGAACATTCAGGATGAAGAGGATGACGAGAAGGAGGAGGAGTACGAGACTGATGAGAGATAGATGAGATGGGTGAGGAGGAGGCATGAGGGGGTCGGAGGGAGGGCGGGAGGATGGGGTAGGAGGAGGGGCAGAAGGATACGGGGGATGTGGAAGGATAATTGTATGATAATGCTGATGATGCTGATGATAATACTGCTGCTGATTATTGTGATGATGCTGCTGCTGCTGATGATGATGATGATGCTGATGACGTTGATGTTGTTGCTGCTGCTGGTCAGGGTGGAGATGATGATGGCGATGACGACGACGACGATGTTGATGATACTGATGAAGAATAACGGCAATGATGATGAAGAGGATGTTGTTGATGATGCTTATGATGACGATGACGAGGAGGAGCATGACGATAAAAGGCGCGGATGATGTCGAGGATGCTGCTGCTGATGCTGATGCTGACGGTGATGATGATGATGATGATGATGATGATGATGATGATGCTGATGCTGATGATGATGATGATGATGATGATGTTGATGATGATGATGGTGGTGGTGGTAGTGGTGGTCATGATGGTCATAGTGGTGTTGATGATGACGGCGAGGCTGATGATGATGATGCTGCTGTTGCTGATGACACCGACGCTGTTGCTATTTCGATGATGGTAATGACGCCACTGATGATCATAATGCTGATGATGATGACGATGAAGATGCGGGTGGTGATGATGATGATGAGGACGAATATGGAGATCATGACGTGGATGAGGATCGGGATGATGCTGATGATGATGTTGATGATGGTGTGGACGATGATGCTGCTGTTGATGATGATGAGGATGATGAGGATGAAGGCGATGATGAGGAGGATGAGGATGACGGTGGTGGTGATGATACTGTTGGTGGTGATGATGATCATGTTGCTGCTCATGATGATGCTGATGATGCTGTGGATGATGATGGTGACACTGATGACGATCCTGATGCTGATGATAATGTCGATGATGATGATGCTGATGCTGCTGCTGCTGATGCTGATGATGATGATTATGAATATGAGCATGATGATAGTGGTGATTATGATGATGATGGTGACGGTGGTGACGAAGAATATTATGCAGATGAAGACGAAGATGAAGATACACATGATGTTGATGTTGATGCTGATGCTGATGATGATGATGATGATGATGATGATTATTGCTATACTATGCTATCATGAATTGTGTTGCTAGTATTATCATTGTTTTTAGTGTGTAGGGTTATTGTTGACGCTTCGCGACTCCACACCAGCCCATCCAGAAACGATGCCCAGAGGAATTGCCTCGATCAGGGAAGTGAGCAGCACACAGAGAAAGCCATTATGAGACATCTTGGGATATCTTGAGCATCCTTGGAGGTCATTCTGGGCTCGCCCAGGCGCTCTTGATCTTAAGCAGTGCCTCCCCCCCAAGAGGCCAACATGTGGCTAAAACCGTAGTAAAATCAATGATTTGGCATTCTCGCCGAGGCCTCTTGGAGCATCTTGGGTGCCCCTGGGGGGGTCTCTTGGGGCCTCTTGGGGGTCTCTTGGGGGCCTCCTGGGGGCCTCTTGAGGGCCTCTTGGGGCCATCGTGGGGCCATCTTGGGACCTCTTGGGGCCTCCTGGGCGCTTCTTGGAGGCCATTTTGGAGGTGATCTATCAAACAAGAGGGGAGCATTAATTAGCGTCCCCCCCCCAGGAGGCCAAAATGGGGCCAACACCCTAGTACAACCAATGCTTTTTGCTTCCTCGCCGAGGCTGTTTTGGCATTCTCGCCGAGGCCTCTTGGAGCATCTTGGGTGCCTCTTGGGGCCTCTTGGGGGTCTCTTGGGGGCCTCTTGGGGCCATCTTGGGGCCATCTTGGAACCTCTTGGGGCCTCGCGCTTCTTGGAGCCATCTCTGGCAAGAGGGGAGCATAGCGTCCCCCCCAGGAGGCCAAAATGGGGCCAACACCCTAGTAAAACAAATGAGTTTGGCTTCCTCGCCGAGGCTGTTTTGGCATTCTCGCCGAGGCCTCTTGGAGCATCTTGGGTGCCTCTGGGGGGTCTCTTAGGGCCTCTTGGGGGTCTCTTGGGGGCCTCCTGGGGGCCTCTTGGGGGCCTCTTGGGGCCATCTTGGGGCCATCTTGGGACCTCTTGGGGCCTCCTGGGCGCTTCTTGGAGCCATCTCTGGAGGAGATCGATCAAACAAGAGGGGAGCATTAATTAGCGTCCCCCCCAGGAGGCCAAAATGGGGCCAAAACCTTAGTAAAACCAATGAGTTTGGCATCCTCGCTGAGGCCGTTTTGGACGCTCCTACGACTCGCGAAACCCTTTGTCCAGGTCCACGGGGAGGAGGTAGGGGGAGGGGTAAACCCCTCCCCGAAGGGGAAGAAGGAGGGGTGGAAGAGAAAACTCTCTAAACCACCGACGCCCAGAGGGCTGGTAGGATTTTTAGTGTTATGACTCTTACTATACCTAGTCATTGCTATTCTTGTTATTTGTATTACTCTTTTTAGTATTAAGATTACTGTGCTTGTGGTGATGGTGGTGGTTGTGGTGGTGATGATTATCCCGCTGCCCACGTCAAGGCCCGCCAACGTGTCTGCGTTGCGGGTCATACGCCTAGTGGATGTTTGTTGGACTCTCGTGGGAGGCATCTCAGGGGCCTGATGGAGGCACTTTGAGGCAACTTGGAGGCCGTTTTGGAGCCTCTTGGGGGCCTTTGGGGGGCCTTTTGGGGCCTCTTTCCGCCTCTTGCCGCCTCTTGGGCGCCTCTTGGGACCTCCTGGGGGCCCCTTGGGGCGGAAGGCTCAATTTTTCGGTTCGGGTTGTCTCTTTGGAGCCTTTTTGGGGCGTCTTGGGGCCTCTTGGGCCGTCTTGGGGCGCTTTTCGGCTATCTTAGGGCCCTCTCGGAGGCCGTCGTGGGGGCCTCTTGGACCATCTTGGAGCGTCGGAAAGCCGAAAAGGCGCGAGCGCCACAATCCTTTAAAACAAAAACCCACAGAAAATAACATATGTTTGCCTTTGGGGTCTTCTTGGTAGACCCCTTGGAGGTCTCATGGGGCGCGTTGGAAGCCTCTTGCGCCATCTTGAGGCCATCTTGCGCGTCTTCGAGCAATCGTTCGGCGTTTCGGGGCTCTCTTGGACCGTTTTGGTGGCCCCCTGGGCAGTCATGGAAGCTTTAGAGAGCCCCAGGGAGGCGCCATGGCCGTCCAGGGACCCCTGGGAGCATGGACGGTGCACGCAGCGAGGCGCTTCCCGAGGAGATGGGGGCCTTTTAGAAGATGAGAAAGAGCGCGTTCTGTGGTCGTTTGGAGGAGGGGGGGGGTTGGAACCGGACCCCCCCCCTGGATGGAGGGGGGGGTTCGAACCCCCCCCCTTCCCGTGACGGAGGGGGGGGAGGGGGTTTCGAAGCCCCCCCCCCTCTTTTCCCTTCTTCCCGTCGCGGCTGGCGGCGGCGGCGACGACGATTTCCTTTTCTGGGCTGGCGCCGGCGCCTGCGGCGGCGGGCGGCGGCGGCGGGAAGCGTCGACGAGGACGACGGTAGTGGTGGTGATGGCGGGTTGTGGTGGTGGTGGTGGCGGTGGTGGTGGTTGTAGTGGTGGTGGTGGTGGTGGTGTGGTGGTTTGTTGTGATGGTTATGGTTGTGGTGGTGGTTTGTGGTGGGGTGGTGGTTTGGTGGTGGTGTGGTGGTGGTTTGTGGTGGTGGTTGTGGTGTGTTGTGGTGGTGGTTTGGTGGTGGTGTGGTGGTGGTGTGGTGGTGTGGTGGTGGTTTGTGGTGTTGGTGGTGGGTTGTGGTGGTGGCGGTGGTTCGTGGTGGTGGTGGTGGCGGTGGTGGTGGTGGTGGTGGTGTGGTGGTTTGTGGTGGTGGTGGTGGGTTGTGCTGCTAGTGGTGGTGGTTGTATCGGTGGTGGTGATGGTGGGGTAGATTGTGGTGGTGGTGGTGGGTATTTGTGGTTGTGGTGGTGGTGATGGTGAGTTGTGGTGGTGGTGGTTGTGGTTGTGGTGGTGGCTGTGGTGGTGGTGGTGGTGGTGGTTGTGTGGTGGGTTGTTGTTGGTGGTGGTGGTGGGTTGAAGCGGTGGTGGTGGTGGTACTGGTGGTAGTTGTGTTAGTGGTGGTAATCGTCGCTGCGTCCCCGCCGTCGCCGGCGCCAGCGCCGGCGCTGCTGGCCGCCGCCAGCGCCGGCGCCACGGGGGGGGGGGCGGGGGTTGAACCCCCCCCCTTGGGCGCCGGCGCCAGGGGGGTGGGGGTGTGTTTGAACCTCCCCCCCTTGGGCTTCCTCTGGTCATCGTCGCTGCGTCCCCGCCGTCGGCGCTACTGGCGGCCGCCAGCGCTCGCGCCGGCACCAACGCCGAGGCGGGGGGGGGTTGAACCCCCCTTCGGGAAGGGGGGGGGTTTTGGGGGGCAGGGAAGTCCCCCTGGTTTTGATCGACGGCGCCGAGTGTTGGGGGGGGGCCCACCCCCCGTATCGAAACGCGCCGCCGAATGTTCCCAAGGCAAGCGCCCGGGAAAACGCGCTCGCTCGAAGATTACAGAGACCCTGCCAGACAGCACTTGGCATTCTACCACGCCTCAACGTACCAGTCGGCATTGTTGCGGATACTGGTGAATCTGATGATGCTGATGGTTGATGGTGATTATGTTGGTGGTGCTGATGATGATGATGATGATGATGATGATGGGGATGGGGATGGGGATGGTGAGGATGATGATGATGATGACGATGATGATGATGGTGGTGGTGGTGATGATGATGATGATGACGATGATGATGATGATGATGATGATGATGATGATGATGATGATGATGATGATGATGATGATGATGATGATGATGATGATTATGACGGGGAGGAGGAGGAGGAGGAGGAGGAGGAGGACGACGAGGATGAGGACGAGGAAATGGAGGAGATTCAGGAGGAGGGGGAAAGGTTGCTCTCAACGCGAGCGGCGTCCTGGACAAGATCGGCGGGCTACTGGGTGCAAGGCCTCTGTGTTTATGTCGTTCCCGTCGTCGTCGTCGTCAACTCCGTCGCCCCAGAGGGCCCACGATCTCCAATCCAGCATCCAGGTTGGAGGCCTCCTTCCTGCGCGTCGGAGGTTGCGAACCCTCCCATTATTCCTGCTCTTCGTCGTCCTCCTGCTTCCGCACCTTCCCCTCCCTTCCACTATGGTTAATGACGAGCCAACTGTTCCAAGTGTGTTCCGTTTTGGCCCGCCTATGAACCTGCATGCATGCATGCATGCATGCATATCGTCGTTCTATGAACTTGCATGCATGCAGGTTCATAGTGTTTTCTTTTCGCAGTGTTCATTCTCAGTTTCGCCGCCATCATCGCCATCGTCATCATCGTTGGCGTCATCACCATCGCCGTCATGAAGTGCGCCACCATCGTCATCATCGCCAGGAGCGAACGCATTACCATCGTTACCGCCATCATCGTCAACATCGCTGTCATCACCGCCACCATCGCCATCACCGCCATCATCATCGTCATCATCACCATCATCATCGTCATTATCATCATCATCACCATCATCACCATCATCACCATTCCCATTTTCTCTGAAACGATCGCGCGCGAACCGCGTGTTTTGGCAGGCCGAGGCTATCAGCCAGGCGCCTGGCGCGTGGGGCAGTATCCTCGGCGCCCGCGGCCCGCCGCTGGCGCGGGGCGGCACGTTGTCGCGGAGGGCGCCAAATGGAGGGACCATTATCTTCGCATTAACAGAGGGAACCCTGGTGATCTGAAAAGCACGCCCTTGCGGTCACCAAGCGGGTTTCGGGTGATCCGCGCGCGCGTGTGGCGCGCGTCACCCGCTGCGCGCGCGTGTGCGGAGGGGTTTGCATCGTGAATTTGTTGAAGTCGTCACGTTTGGTTGGGCAGCGTATTTTCATTAGACCGGAAAGCAACAAGCTCGGAGCTTGACATGGGGTTTTGGCATGCTTATCGTATATCCCGAACGCAACGCACGAGACCGTCGCACGCGCATTGCCGCGCGTACGGCGGGGCGCCTGCATGGAGGGGCGTGCATGGAGGGCTCAGTATTCACGCATGCAGAAAGTCTCCATGCTGCTCTGGGAATTGAACAGTGCCGAAATCAATTCCAAACTGATTTCGGGTGACCCGCACGCGTGCGCGCGGGCGGCGCGCGCGCGCGCGGAGCTGCGCGGCGCGTTCTTCAGTGGGAACGCGCAGAAACCGCCGTGTCGGCACGGCGCATGCAGTTTTACAGTAGCGCGCGACCAATCGTTTTCAAGTCGAACACGGGCTGCGCTGATGCCCGCCATGCCGGCCCATCTCGCGAAACCGTCGCGCGGTGTCGCGCGCGCGGCACCGCGCCTTCGAGGGGGAGTTCTGCGCGGGATCGTCATTCTCGCACTAATGACCAATAGCAGAAAGTGTGGAGGTCAATATTTATGTTTGTATTCTCTTTTTATGATGTTCGTACATCGGCGGTTGGGGAGGGCCCGCTTGCCCCCCCCCCCCCCCAGATTTGGCGCGATCTCCACGTTGCGTTCAACTTGTAACGCGCTTTGTCATCCAAAACCATCGGACCGAAGTCGGGCCACCGCCGCGTTGCGTCGCCCAGCCCATGGATATGCGCGATGTTCACATGTGTTGCTCCATCGCCACAGCTGGTGAGTTCTGTCCTCCCCCAGAGGGGTGCAGGGTGGGCCAAGGGCGATGGCGGGCGGGAGGAGGGGAACTGTTTGTCCTCTCCCTCCCCTCCCGCGGCATCCCGCCGTTCCCACGCTCGATCCCCCCCTGTCGCTGCGCGCGCAGGGGGCGCCGCCCCATCTTGCCCGCGAGCCCGCGAGCCGCCCGCCTGGGCCCGCGCGCGGGCCCGGTCCGCGGCTGCATGTTTTGTTGCCGGGCAACTTCCCCTCGCAGCACCCCCGACGCCCCGCTCCTTGGGAGACGCGGCGACCGACGGGCGTGGCGGCCCTTTTTTGCCAATACTGGGGTGCCCAGTTCCGTATTACCTCCCAGAACCCACGATACAAGGTAGCAGTATGGCTGCCTCGATTTTGCGCGAGCGTGCTCGGAGGTTCCGACGGACTGATCCTTGATCATCCTCGTTCGTTTCATCGTTGGGTGGCGGCCGTGGCGCCTCGCGTCGGTCCTCCTTCCGTCGTCCTTCTTCTCACCCTGTTTTTCTGGTTCCTTCTGGCTTTCGTTCAAACGCTGGGGGGCCGAATCGCGGGTGGCGAACTCTCCCGTCTCGACGAGCGCCCTGTCGGCGTCGCCCAGGGGGAACTGTCGGTCCGTTGCGCGGGCGCCCCAAACCGTGGCGATCCTGTCCCCCCTATTCATCGCCAGGCGCCGGTTTCGACGCGCCCCCGCCCTTTCGGCGCGACCGCCGGCGTCCAGAGTCCAGCGGGGGAGCCCCCAGGGGCCCCCCTCACCAGTCGGCGGGGTAGTTATTTGTCTTCTCTGGAACGTCTCCCCTCGCTTCCCCTACGTCAGCGCGGGGAGGCGTGGGCATTTACGGACATCTTTTAGAATTCCCCGATGGAGCCTTTGGGAAACCCAGGGGCCCCGAAGGACAGTGTCAAAGGACCCTAAGGAAACCCAAGAGCCCAGGTGTCTCTACGACGTGGTCCCCTCTCCTGCCTCTTCCCTCCTCCCGCGCCTTTTTTTCCCCGGTGCCTGCCCCCTTCCGCCCTCCCCACCCTTCCTGCACCCTTCTGCCTGCTCCTGCCCTGCCCCGCCCCCCCCATCAACCGCTTTCCCCCCTCCGCGGTCCCTCGTCTCTCCTTCCTTCACCCTCGTTATCCCTGCTTCCGTCTTCCTGCCCCCCCCTTCTTCCTCTTATCTTCCACGTCCCTTGTTCCTCCTCCCTCCCCTCTCTTCGCTCCCCCGCGCTCCCTCGCCCCCCCCTTCTCCCTCTTCCCCCGCCCTGACCCCCCCTCTGCCCTCCCGTGTCCTCTTCCGCGCCATGCGTTCGCTTTCCCTCGCCCCACATCCGCTCCCCGCCCTCCGCCCCCCCTCACCCTCCGCCCTCACCCATTCTCCTTCGCCCCGCCCTCCCTCATCTCACTAGCCCTGCCTCCTCCCGCCCACCCCGCCCCCCATCCTTCCTCACTTTCCGTCCGCTCTTCCACCCTCGCTCATATTCCCTCATTCCCCCTCCCTCACCTCCCACCCTTGCCCTCGAATCCCCCTCGCGTTCCCTCGCCCTCCACCTCCTCCCTCGGTTTCCACCGGCCCTCCCCCTCCACCCTCCCGCCTCCCCCCCGCGGGGGACCCCGCAAGCGCCCCGGGGGACGGCCGCCAGTTTGTTCGCCAATTTTTTTATGACGGGATTCCTGTTTTAAAAATTGGAGGGGAAATTGGCGATGGAATCAGAAATTTTTTTCCGCCGAATTTTTGGCGGAATTTTTGGCGGGGGGGTTTTTCGAGTGTCCCGGGCGCAGTTTTTGGATGGCCGCGGGGGGGGCCCGCCGGCGTTTTTGGATGGCCCCGGGGGTGGCCCGACGGGTGGTTTCTGGATGGCCCCGGGGGGTCCCGACGGTGCTCCAGATTCCAGGTTGCTGCCCTCGCATGGCGCAAGCTATGCGGTGCAAACTACATGTTGCAAGCTATGTGGTGTAAGCTATGCGAGGAAAGCCGCGTGGTGCAAACTATGTGGTGTTATCTATGTGGCGCAATCTGTGCGGTACAATCTGTGCGTCCGAAGCGATGTGGTGCAGGCTACGTGGCGTGAGTTCTGTGGTGCAAGCTAGGTGGTGCAAGATATGGGTTGCACGCGATGTGGCGCAAGCCATGTGGATGCAAGCTGTGCGGCGTAACCTATGTGGTACAATCTGTGTGGTGCGAGTTCCGTTGCGCAAGCTATGTGGCGCACGCTATGCGTTGAAAACCGCGGCTGGCGTTGTCAAATAAACGCCCTGTCGGGATTGCAGCGGGCGTTGTCAAGTAGGCGCCCTGTCGGGACCGGAGCGGGCGTTGTCAAGTAGGCGCCCAGTCGGGACCAGAGCGGGCGTTGTCGACTAGGCGCCCTGTCGGGACCAGAGCGGGCGTTGTCAACTAGGCGCCCTGTCGGGAGCGGAACGGGCGTTGTCAAAGAAGCGGCCTGTCGGGAGCGGAGCGGGCGTTGTCAAGGAAACGCGTTGTCGGGACCGGAGCGGGCGTTGTCAAGTAAGTGCTTTGTCGGGACCGGAGCGGGCGTTGTCAAGTATGCGCCCTGTCGGGAGCGGAGCGAGCGTTGTCAAGGAAGCGCCCTGTCGGGACCGGAGCGGGCGTTGTCAAGTAGGCGCCCTGTCGGGACCAGAGCGGGCGTTGTCACGTATGTGCCCTGTCGGGACTGCGACCCCCCGCTTGCATGTTTCCTCTGTCCTTTCGTTCCTCCCACTTCCTTCTATTCACCTTCCTCGTCTTCCGCTTCCCCTTGCTCCCTCCCTCATTCTCCCCCGCTCTCTCCCTCGCCCCCCATTTTTTGCCTTTGCTGTCCTCGTTCCCTCTCTTCCGTGTGTTCTCGCCCCTCCTTGCCCGCTTCCTTTTCGCCCTTTTCCCCCTCACCCCTCCTTGCTCTCTACACCCTCGAGTCCTTGCTCACTTCCTGCCAGTGCCCTCCCCCTCTATCGCCCGCTCCCCCTGTCGCCGAGCGACGCTCAGCACGCCTATTTGCAACCTTGGTTCCAAGCCCTGCTCGCGCCTTCGCCAAGCCTTTGGGAAACAAGCCCAGCGCTGGTGCGGGTACTGCGCTGTGTGTTTGCGGGGAGCGCCCCGTCAGTGGTGGCGGGGCCAAGTGCGACGCTGCGTCGCAAACGTTTATTCGACGGCAACAGGGGGCAAGTCACCAGCACAGCCCTCGGCCGCGGGGCGCGTTGCTTGCCTGCGAAACCTGAGACATCGATTGACCTCCAAAACGTTTTGATCCACATCCAAATGTGCACCCCCTCGGGCGCCTCGGCCCCAGGACGGGGGGGGCGGGGGGGCGCAATACATGGAACATCTGAAAAGGTCCAAGCCCGGCCATGACACGA